CACTCACCTCAGCCTCCCAAAGCACGGGATTACAGGCTGAGCCACCAAGCCCAGCTAATTACATTGATTTTTAAATGTTAAGCCAATTCCTGGGATAAGTCTTACTTGGCCATGATGATTTAGAATTCCTTAAATATATATATATATATATATTTGTATATATAATGCATCATTTTTCTGTATTGTTGGATTTGATTTGCTAAATTTTTAAATTAGAATTCTTGTTTCTATGTTCAAAAAAACATTAGTCTGTGGTTTTCTTTTCTTGTAATATCTTTGTTTTTGATATCAGTGATTCTTGCCTCACAGGAAAATTCAATCAAATTTCCTCCTCTTTGCTGGGTGCTGTGGCTCACGCCTATAATCCCAGCACTTTGGGAGGCTGAGGTGAGAGGTTGCCTGAGTCCATTGGTTCGAGACCAGCCTGGGAAACTTGGCAAGATGCTGTCTCTACAATAAATAAAAAAATTAGCTGACTGTGGTTGTGTGTGCCTGTAGTTCCAGCTACGTGGAAGTCTGAGGCGGAAGGATCACCTGAGCCTAGCAGGTCAAGGCTAGGGTGACCATGAGCATGCCACTGCACCCCAGCCAGGGCGACAGATGAGACTCCAACTCAAGGGGAAAAAAAATGTCCTTCTCTTTAATTTTTCTGAGTGAGTTTGTGTTGAATTGATATTATGTCTTCCTTAAATGTTTGGAAGAATTCACTAGTGAAGACTGAGGTTTCCTTAATGGGACTTTAAGCCATAAGTTTAATTTTCTTTTTTTTTTTCTTTTTTCTTTTAAAGATGTGGGGTACAATTCAGGATTGGGTCTGCAAGTGGTCATCGTACAGGTAAAGTCGGGGCCTCCCGTTAGGCCCCACTTTGCAATAGGCCTGGTTTGAGATCGGGTCCTTATTGATGTCATGTGCCCTCTTCTCCCTCCCCTAGCAGTTTCTGACTGCTGCCAATCTCTTTCTTACAGTATTATGTTACATGTTCAGGGCCCGCTTGTGAGTGAGCACAGGGCCATTCATGTTGTCTGTTTCTCTTGTCTGTGTCTTTCAAGGAATTTGTCTGTTATTATTAAAGTTGTCAAGTTTGATACAGTGCTGCCCATATTTCCTTTTTATTACTTTAATATCCTTAGAATCTACTGATATCAACTCTCTTATGACTGATAACGATAACCTCTCTTCCCCCACCCCCTGATCATACTGGATAATTTTTGTTTTTTGAAATTTCTGGACAGTTATCCATTTTACTGATTTTCTCCAAGATACAGTCATTGATTTCTCTTCTTTTTTCAGACCCATAAAATATTATTAAATTACCACACAAGTTTTTAGTCATCACATTCCTATATCTTAGAACACCTGGACTTTTATCCAATGCTCTTTTGAAGGAATGTGAGTCTTTTACTTTACTCCTAGAGTTTTTATATTGATAATGTAATACTTGATACATATTGCTATGATCGGAATGGTTGTTTCCCCCACCGCATGTCGAAATCCTAACCCCTAAGGTGATGGCATAAGGAGGCAAGACCTTTGGGAGGTGATTAGCCCATGTGGGTGGAGCACTCGTGATTGGGATTTGTGCCCCTATAGAAGAGACCCCTGAGAGCTGGGTAGCCCCCTTGGCCATGTTAGGTTTCAACTGGAAGATGGTTGTCTAGGAAGTAGGCCCTTACCAAACACGGATCTGCCAGTGTCTTAATCTTAGACTCCCAGCCTCTGGAACTGTGAGAAACAAGCTTCTGTTTTTTATAAATGACCTGACTTACAGCATTTTGTTGTAGCAGCCTGAAGGGACCAACTTATTTGTAGGTTAAGAAGCATAAGTAAATACCAACGAGTTTAGTAAATTACTTCCATACAGGCCAGACTTCACTTATCCCCACTACATCTTTCAGAGGGCGAGTCCTCTTTTTTTTTTTTTTTGAGTTGGAGTCTCACTCTGTCACTCAGACTGGAGTGCAGTGGCTGTTCCCGGCCACCGCAGCCTCGACCTGCTGGGCTCTGGCGATCCTTCCGCCTCAGCCTTCCGAGTAGCTGGAACTACAGGCATGTGCTGCCATGCCTGGCTGATTTTTTGATTTATTGTAGAGATGAGGTCTCGCCAATTTGCCCAGGCAGATCTTGAACCCGCAGGCTCAGGCAATCCACTCACCTCAGCCTCCCAAAGCGCGGGATTACAGGCTAAAGCCACAGTTCTTTTTTTTTTTTGAGTTGGAGTTTCACTTTGTCACCCAGACTGGAGTGCAGTGGCGCTCCCGGCCACTGCAGCCTCGACGGGCTGGGCCTCAGCCTTCCGAGTAGCCGGAATTACAGGCGCGCGCTACCACGCCCGGCTGATTTTTTGATTTTATTGTAGAGATGAGGTCTCGCCTGCCCAGATGGGTTTCGAACCCACGGGTTCAGGCAATCCACTCGCCTCAGCCTCCCAAAGGTGGGGAATTACAGGCTGAGCCACCGAGCGTGGGTTCTGACTGTATTTTTAATGTTCTAATTGTATCTGGGAAAAATTGTTCTATGATTCAGGTTTGTCTGCTTTTCTTCTAAGCTAACCCTGAGTTCTTGCTATGTGCAAGGCAATTCTTATCAGTGTCCTAAGAAGCAAGTGTCACCATCGTCTCTTCTATGGGTAAAATTTGCTGTAAGCCACACTGAATAGAAAACTCAACACTAGCTTGAGCAGACACGGGTTTATCTTGCTCTCCCGACACGAAGCCTGCAGCTGCTTCCGTAAGTGTGTGGCACTTCCATACCACAAGACTAGCCTGGAGCCTCTGCACCGTCACACGCGACGTGGTGTCTTCCATTAGTTTCCCAGGAGCAGTCCCTGAGCTAAGGTTTGGTTTACTAAGGGCGTGTTTCCAAGAAAGACTGATAAGGGAGTTGGGCTGGGGTAGGGCTGGGCAGGGAGGGACCGGATGTAAGTCAAGTTCCAGGGAGTCAAGAATGTGATCTCAGGCTAAAGTCCAGCAGTGGGTAAATTTGGCATGAACTCCTGAGGGTTTCAGAGCGAAATTTAAGACAGATTTTTAAAATTTAAGCTCCCGACAAGGGAGCTGGGCTTCCGAAAGCCTTGTGAGACTAGGCTGGTGGGAAGAATGCAAACGCACACTTTCATCCCCGTGTGCAAGGGGACAAGGCAGCATCAGCCCTATAAAGGCTTGTAAGAAAAGCTGCAAGTGCTGGGTGTTGAAAGAACACAGAAGGTTGTGGTGACACGGGTGCGTGCACACAAGAGGTGGTATCAGATAATCCAGTGTAAAGAAATCCAGGGATATTGCAGCAGAGCACCCATACCGTCCACCGCGCCAGGACTGACTCATCTTTCCTTCCTGCCGTCTTTAACATGTAGGCCCTTGTCCCCACGCTGGTCACTTTATGGCCAGAAGTTGGCTGTCCATCCAGCTTCCTGTCTGTGGCCCAGGCAGGAACGAGTGAAAGACTGAAGAGGGGAGTGCTAGTCAAATGTGTCCCCTTAGAAGTTTTTTAAAAAAACCATTATCCGGCTTATGTGTTATCGTCCAGAAGTATGTCCAATGGTTACCACGTCCAGCTGCATGGGACTCTGGAAAATAGTGTATTTTTAGTTGGGTGTGCTGTTGTCTGTGACAAAATGAGTCTACTGGAGAAGAAGTAGGGGTAGAACAGTAGGTGGACAACTGTAAGAGTCGGTACTTCCAACTTAACAGGAAGAAACAGAGAGTGAGAGATGATATACCTTGCTGAAGTCGCGCAGCCTGGAAGCAGCAGACCAGGCCTCTGTTCTGAGTGTACTGGACGGTGGTGATTCACGCTTTCTCTTCAAGGGAGTGTTCTCTGTGCTAGGCACTGCAACCGGACTTAGACAAGGGCACTGTCATCTTAGCACCCCCACAGGAAGTAGCGGATTGATTCTAGAGCTATCAACTGGCCTTTGCTTTCATCTCTCAGTTCCTTAGATTCCTATGTCCCCATCCCCAGTCCTGATTGATACTAAGGGAGTGGACACAATGGAATGTACTCCTGTTGCCCGAGACCTGCAGAAAGAACCTGCTTGCCATGACCTTGAGGATGGACATGAGAGTAGGTGAGCGTGAATCTTAGGGTGTGGGGCAAGAGAATTCATTCTGCGTTTCCCCTGATGACAAGCCCATGTGGATCTCTCTCATCTTTGTCCAGCTGTGTTCTGCAGAGTTGGAGTTTTCAGACATATTGCACATATTTTAGTGTCTGTATGTGCAAGGAACATAGCTCAGGTTTCGTTTGTGCTTTCGTGGTACCTGGGAAAGTCCAGTATGAATGGTATTTATGTAATGCATAACTGCTAGAAGAGATTTCCGAGTTGTGTAGGTAGATGGTATGAAGGGGTAAGGAGCTTTGGGACAAGCCTTGAGCTGACCAGCAGTCAGCTAAAGGCTCTTCTGTCCATCAGGAAACTTCTCGGCCGGAGGGACAGAGACTGAAACTGTGATCTTCTGGCTTGTTTTGTTCTTCAGAAGTGGAGTTTATGAACCAATTGTTTTCCACTTGAATCAAGCTGTTTTCTGATTGGCAATTTTCTTTCAAATTCCCCCAACCTCAACTCTTGCTTATTTTTCTCAATTCTAGGTCATTTTATTTTTTTAAGTAAAATCTTCTTGGCAGTATTTCAGGGTGTCCAATAAATACATAAAAATCTAAAGAATATCAATAAAATGAGAGAAAAACAAATTTTGATACAATTTTAATTTCTGACACAATGAAATGAACAAACTCCCTTCAGTGATGGGTGTTTGGATTATCAAAACACATGTATATAAGTGACAAAAAATGTCACTCCGCATTTCTTTGTATTAGTCAGATTATACTGACTGTAATGATGGTGGGAAGGAAGCATTTTTTAAAAGAAAATCCAGCATGAAAAATAAGTTAGCCAAGTTGAAAGATATCTAAACAGGGACTCGGAAGTCTCAGATTGAAGTTCTGGTGCCGGTACGTGCTTGATTGTGGGTGAAAGTTACCAAACACCTCCTCTATGCTGGCCATCAGGATGGGCACTGAGAATACAAAGGTGAAAAGACACATCCCTTCTCTTGAAAAATCTTACTTGGTCTTGAATCACCAAAAATATCAGACAAATGACCTGCTCCAGAGACACTGCTGGATTGCGTATGCTTGCTTTCACTTTGGAATTTCAGAATATTGAGTCATTTTATGATAAAATTGTTATGGTCTCACATACTTTTGAAAAATACAGTTTATTTAAGAATAGGTACAATGTAGTAGATATATTTGGTTATTTAACAATTACTTTAAGTATATCATACAAATGTATGTGGTCAATATTTAGTGTTTTCACAGGGGGTGACATAGATTCTGCTTTTATTTTTGTCTCTTTGGTAAAATTATTGACAAAATAATTAAACAAAGATATATTCTTTTGTAATTGTGATACCCTCGTGCAGTAATTCTCAGCCTCTTTTATCTTATGTGCTACCGGAATTATATTCAATAAGTCTCAACAAATTAGAAATGAAAAAGTCCACACTTTCAGAAAGGGCTTATTTTGTAAGTATTTTGTTATTACGTTTATCATTTATCGGTATTAAGTCTAAGAAAAACTGTAGTAGACATTGCTAAGACTTTAAAATAAGCAAAAGCGATTTCTTTAGTAGTTAAAAATGTTATATAATTAAGTATAAATTTTACTACCTTGGTGATTGCAAACCACAAAGATGTTCAACAAAAATACTGCATTAGTAGATTTATCTAAAAATTCTACAACACTGGGTAGACAGAGCAGAATAAAGGTGCTGGCATCCAGAATTCAGGTGATGTGGAAATGAAGCACAGGGGTGCAAAAGACATCCCAAGGGTGTGACTGGTCAAAAGAAATGAAGAGAAAGAAGCAAAATAAACATTCTGCAATAAGCAAGGTCATAAGGAAGCTGGATGACAAAAAGACTTGTGCACATGGAAAGCAGGGATTAGGAGAAAACTGTCCCAGGTGACAATGAGCATAGACATGGGTCCTGGAAGTCTGGGTTGGGAGGGATGGCATGCCACAAACACGAGGGACAGTCAGTTACTGAAATTTCAATATCGTTTTTGTGCCCCATCTAGGCTCTGGTGGGTCAGAGGACATCTAGCCTCACCATAGCACTTCAATCCTGTCGTACTCACATGCTCTAAACTGTGTTGGGGCTCAGTACTTTTGAAAAAATGAAAACACGTTTTAGTTTGTTAGACATTCCAAGTGAATCAGATTTTATGCCTGCTCTAACGTTTATTTCACTAAGTAATCATGCCTTGCTTAAAGTAAACTTGGTATGCAAAAATCTGACTTCCAAAAATGAAATAGAAGTGAGGTCATTCACTTTGCAAACACTGAACTTGTTTTTCTTAATTTGTTGACTATACTTGCTTTCTCACACATGTATATTACCTGCCTAGGCGCTGAAGTTTCATACCCCTGACGGCAAGAAAGAGCTAATCTCGAGTGCTGTCTATGGCATCTACAAACTTTTGTGTTTTATTTCAGCTGAGAAATGGTCATCCTATGTAGCATCTGGTCGTCTTTGCACTAGCAGAACCAGTGTTTGGGCTTATTGTTTGGAACCAGGAAACATCATTTCCCAAAGTGGCCCTTTCACAAGGATCCCTGTCTGAAGAGTGACTTGAGCTGAGGCTTTGGCGTCTCCTTGGAGGTCTCGGCTCTAAATGTGAAGTTCTTTGTAGACTGAAAGTAAATAAAAGTAGATGCCAGGCTGCATGTCTTTAGAATATTAGCAGTTTCTTTATCAATACCCTAAATAATAATCCGGCTACTTGTACTGGACATGCAATTATCCAGAAAGAAACACAATGTAACTGAAAGGTTAGAAAAAAAATATTTCCATACATAATGAAGAAAACATTCCACAGCATGCTCAGTGGTCTCCATTCCCCTTAATTGTCACCTCTTTATCTCCCATCCCTTTTCCACCAGTAGCATTTGGGCCACCCAACCCAAGACCCACAGCTTTCCATCACATTGTTTTACAGAGCTTAAACAGGATGTTCTCACTACTGAAATTCTCAGAACAGCGTTCATTGATTAGAACAAGCTGATTATCCTTCACGCCTAAAAACGTTCCAGGAGCACTCTTACATTCAAATGAAACACATTCAAATGAAACACACTTGTAGGGCTTCTTATGAAGGACAAAGAAGGCCTGGTCTGGCAACGGATTTTTGCACTTATGGAGCTGAGGAAAAAAGAGAGAAAGTAATCCACATGAGAATGGGAAATTCAGAGTCAACCTTACCTCCTTATGTTAGAAACTAAAGGGAAATATTTATGACTTGGTATTTCTAGCAAGCCTGCTTAGTGAGGAGGGGAGGGGAGGGAGGAAGAAGTGAGTAGAGGGCCAGAGGGGCAGGGACAGATGTAATTTGATTCACTGACAGGCAATATAGTATACTTAGAGAGGTGATGGCTTTTGACATGGACTATCTCTGAGACCTTGGGCCTGTTGCTTTATCTCTCAAGTCTCAGTTTTCTAGTGTAGCTGCTTTCTAGATTAGTCAATCCCCAAAGCACCTACAGACATATGCATAATATAAATGATTGTCACTTTGAGTCACTAAGTTTTGGGGACAGTTTTTTACTCAGCAATTGCTGACCAATACAAAAACTCCACTGTAAAGCTGCTGTGTTAAATGAGATAGTATTTGCAAAACATTTAGCACAATGCTTGGTATGTAATAGAGCTCAGTCTAAGTCAGCTCTTATTATTACGTAGTCGTATATCCCAAACACGCTGTTAGATACAATTAGGGCTGTTCTGTTAAGGAAAATGCTGGTTTCTGTCCACTGTTCCTGATACTAATACCTCCCATGGCTGTGCTAGCTTTATAATTTTCTGTACTTTACAATTTACCTTCTATGTTATACTCTCCTGTTGTCTTCCTTGCCTCTACCTTTGGCTTGTTTGTTTCTCACAATATGTACAATTATTCATCATGACCAATGTAACAAACTAAGAAGAATATGCTGTGAAGTCTATGATCTGAATGTAGGTTGTCAGGCTATTCATAAATCTTGGCACAGGGAAATGTTTATGACCCTCCCTCTAGCAGGCTCAGAGTGGAAAATTATTTTTGCATTTGTTTAAGAAAACTGTATTACACAAACAAATATTTCTTTGAAGAACACAGCAGTTCCTAAAGCCAAAGAGAAAGGATTTGAGATCATTCTACACAGCAAACTTTAGTGAACATATGAATCTCTTGGAGATGTGTGAAAATACTGATTCTGATTCAGTGTTGGGGGAGCTTGAAACCCTGCATTTCTAACAAGCTCCCAGGTGATGCCATGCTGCTGGTGAAGTCTAGCTTCCAGTGGCAAGGGCACACACGTTGCTTTCCTCCCTTCCCTACTCCAGAAGCAATCGTTACTAGTAACTGATTGCGTTTTATGTGGAGCAGCACAAGCAGAACGCCTTCTGCAAAATAGCCCAACACCCAAATCTGCACAGGTTAGGAGAGTCCATCACGACAGTCATGTTTCTTTTACCTCCACAGAATGCTCCTTGTTGTTGGCGTGCAGCCAGAAGTCTTTTGCAGGACTCAGGGTCACCATTAACATCTTACCGTCAACAGCATCACCTTGCAATGAAGAAATCATCAACGATAAAATTAAGAATTTTAATTCATCTTACTTAAATGAATTTAACACCTAGGAAAAGGGTCTAAGATGTCACTTCGTTCACCAACAGGCCTCTTAGAAATATCTGTATCCAAACAAAAATCATGGGTAAGTGAAGGGTGCTTCTGAACTGGAGAGAGGTTAGTTTCTTACAGGCTTTCTAACTGGAGAACTGTGACTTGAACGGGCACTTCTCTGGGCGTCAGCTTCCTGTCTGCAAGCCAAGCCACCAGCAGTGTATCCCACTAGCCGACCCCTCTTTCTGAATAGTAACAGATTATTTCCCAGCCTGCCTCCTTATGGCTAAGTGCAGCAACATGACGGATTCTGGTGTGTGCGCGACGAGCAGGGTATTGGTGCAACTACTATGCTGTGCCCTTCAAGGGACACAGAGTGCACACATCGGCTTTCCTCTGTCCTGCCTACTGGACACTGTCACGGACTCAGGCAATCCTGACCCACATGCATGCTGGCGACCCCAAGGCAGCAGGACTGGGTCCTGGCACAGCTTGTGGAGCAGAACTGCCATTCTAGCCCTGGCTAAGGAAGGCATGAAATGTTATCTAGCTTAAACCACTGTTATGTTGGATCTCTGTTCAGTGTAGCCAATACTTTATCCTAACTATTAAGCTGCAAAATGGACGGGAAGGAGTAAATCCGGTAAGAATCCCAAGATTTTTCCACGAGCGTGGGTTGGAGAGAAACTTCTGAGATGGTCTTCTTTTCCCATGGGGCATTTCGGATTTATCTTAACCCCAAACTTAAGAATTCAAGCACTGTAGCTACCCAGTCCTCCAAATTACCTGATTCACTGGAATATGAAGACTCGTAGTAATGCAGTAACACCTTGCCTGAAAGAGAATGCATGAAATCTTTCAGGTGTGATACAATTTTATCAAAAGATTTCAGTTCCAGCATATATATAACATTAGAAAATATCTGCAAACTTTTACAGTTTTGAGAAGAGTCTCAAAAACATGTGACTATGCTTTGATGAATTCTCCAAAACAATTGTTGGCATTTAATGTTAACATTTAATATATATATATTTTTTGAGTTGGGAGTCTCACTCCGTTGCCCAGACCGGAGTGCAGTGGCCCCTCCCGGCCACCGCAGCCTCGACCTGCTGGGCTCCGGCGATCCTTCCGCCTCGGCCTTCCAAGTAGCTGGAACTACAGGTGCGCGCTACCACGCCCGGCTAATTTTTTTTTTTAGTTATTGTAGAGATGAGGTCTCGCCAAGTTGCCTGGGCGGGTCTTGAATCCATGGGCTCAGGCAATCCACTCGGCCTCCCAAAGTGTGGGATCACAGGCTGAGCCACTGAGCCCGGCAACCTTTCATATGTTTTAATAACATCATCGGAACATTATTTTAATAAAAGTCGTACTTGGGTGGAAAGATCTAGTGGGCAATCTGGAGACAGCAAATGCCGTGGTCCCCGCTCCCGCCTTTCACAACAGATACCACTTCTCAGTATCAGCACTGTTCTGCGACGACCTGTGACTAAGCTTCTGAGGCCTCCTCAAGGTAACCATGTTCAGGCATCCACTGCTACTGCATGGGCATCCGCACACAGCATGGGCTACTTGTCTGGACTAAGTTAACGGTTTGGTAGACTTTCGTTTACTAGTGATCACTGCATTATCACAGACAAAAGGAAATGCTCTACCTTTCTCTTGATCTTTCCCCAGGTCTTCCACATAGATCTCGTAACTTCCTTCCTCCATAACAAATGTGACGGATTGGTCATTATATGTGCTCAGAGAAGCAAAAGATTCTGTAATAGGCGAACTTCCTGTCATTAAGAATTCAAAGAGCTTGTCAGGAACAATTCTTTTGACAGCCTTTTAAAAAATGCTCCCTCAAAGGATTTTTTTTCTTTTTTTGAAATTTGAGCTGCACTTGGGCTGTCACTGTTGAATAGATGATAGCCTTTGGCACAAGCTCTGCTTAAGCTCAAACACTGAGGTGTAACACCCGAATGGAATTAGAAGCGCTAGTCTACTTCAGGAAGGTCCCAGGAGGCCATGTCAGTCAGTTCACGGGAGAATTTGGTGGGGAGAAAGAGGATGGAAAGTGGCAATCATCCCTGAGGAGGCCTCCGGTTCCCAGTTCCCTGTGGTCTGGGATCAGATCTTGACAGACTGTGTCTTGATAGAGATAAATGAGGGTTCATTTATAAGGCATGGAATCATCCAGAGACTTCCAGGGACACTTCATGTAGTGCTCCCAACTTTTTTGTTTTTGAGTTGGAGTCTCAACCCGGGCTGGAGTGCAGTGGTGAGCCTGCAGCTTACTGTGGCCTTGATCTCCTGAGCTCAGGCGACCCTCCTGCCTCAGCCTCCCGAATAGCTGGGGCGACAGGCACAAGACACCACACTCGGCCCAACTTTTAAAAAAAGTCACAATACACAATACACAAAATGATAATATTTTTACAGCTTGCTGAGGTAAATTGGAACAGATTTAAGGACTACCTGTATGGGGCCTGAAAAAAAATCATGACACAGGTATTTTCTTTACATTATAAAATTTTGCTAAGAAAAAAATAATTTACAAAACATTAAGAAGAATGTTAAATACTGAGCTTGAGTTTGTATATGAACTTCTAAAGTAAATGATTTAGAGAATCTTTAGTATTGTTTTGGGAAACCTAAACATTTATATCAGAAGTATACTTGAAATGGTAACATGCAATTTCCTGGTCAAATTTTTTTTTTTGAGTTGGAGTCTCACTCTGTCGCCCAGACTGGAGTGCAGTGGCCGCTCCCGGCCACCGCAGCCTCGACCTGCCAGGCTCTGGTGATCCTTCCGCCTCAGCCTTCCGAGTAGCCGGAACTACAGGCGTGAGCTACCACGCCCGGCTGATTTTTTTATTTATTGTACAGATGAGGTCTCGCCGCCCAGGCGGGTCTCAAACCCGCAGGCTCAGTCAATCCACTCACCTCAGTCTCCCTGGTCAAATTTTTTAATGACAATCTCTTCACTTCTCAATAGTCACCATCAGCCTGGGGTTTTGCACAAGTAGGTGATAAAATTTAAAGTCATTTTAACTGCTATTTTAAATGTATAAAGTGTTGGAATTATATTTAAAAATACAATAGCTCCTTCCCTCTATTTTATGGTCAAAATGTTAAAATTCATGGGGATAATGTGCTCCCCCAGCCAAAGATAATATATTTTCACCGAGAGTACTACACACGGGATTCTAATCCAAAAAAGCATTTAAAAATAATGGCGGCATACTAGTTATAGAATGCACACACACTGTTAGAACAGCGCCCCTGTACCTAGTTTGGACACCGTTAAATAGACACACTGGTTGCAGATGGACAGAAGTTTCTGATACACGTTGAAGACACAGCCTAGGGGCTACTACTTGGAGTAGCACTTGCTAGGGTCTTGCGTCTTACCTCCCTCTCCCCCCATGCCATCCCGGGACCAGTCATACCCGTGGTACTTGGGGTGTGAAGTGCTCTAGAATTGTCCTGGACTTCTGACAGACAAAAGTGCTTCACAGTAAATGACTGCCGAAAGGGAGTGGGTACCAGGTGTTCTTTGTGCTTTCCACCTGCAGGACAGGATAGAGGCAGGAGGGACCATCAATTGCCACCCTGCAGAAATGCCCCTTTGAGGATTCCCCGTGAAGGCTGCTTGCTGAGAGTGGTAACTGACTCCAGGGCTTTGGCCACTCCATGGTCTGAAGGAATCAACACCCCCTGACACACTTATGCCCCAGTAGAGCACACCCACTGGACAGCAGGAGAAAGAAAACTAGTCACTCCAGTCCCATCACTCAAAAGGCAACCACTATTAACATTTTAGTTTGCTTCCTTGAAGTAAAAAAATCACTTAACATATTGTGAACATATTTATATATGTCGTATTGTATCTTCTGCTCTCATGCTACTAAAGATTCTTTATATGCCCTTTTTTGAACGGCTGAAAAACAGTTCATCACCCTTACTCTTTTCCAGAAGGAAAATCTGGGTGAGAAAAAAAAGTATATTCTTGGATGAGATAAGTGGAGGCAAACAGATACCTGCCACTATTCCCAGGAAAAGTGTAGTTCCCCCTTACCTGCTTTTAGTGAAGACCTTTTCCTTTTTGATTTAAGGCCAGAGCATGTCATCACAGAGTATCCATCACAACCTTCCTCTGCCTTCTGCTTAGAGTCTAAATAATTGAAAAAAATGTGAGACACTCTCATTCCATCCATTTTTAATTCCTTTTACAAACCCTGAGTATAGCAGACCAAGAAAGCAAGTACGGGGCCACAGTATCTTATCAGAAACCCTTGAGGCCAGTTGTGTTTCAAACTCCAGAGTGGTTTAGATTTTGGAGCATATACTGTATATATGTAGCACCCCCAGGGATGGGAGCAGCATTCCATAATCAAAAATTCATTAATTTCATAGCCAAACAGGAAAATTGATACAAAGATCTTATGTTAGTTCAAAGAAATAAAGACCTCACATTAGTTCAGGTCAGGATTTAACTGAAAAATGATTTCAGGTCATATTTTTCAGCCACATAAGTAATGAAAAACTTTAGGTCTTTAGAAAAAATGCTGTTTTTTGGAATTTCATATGAAGGACGTGGATCTATACCCAAACATGTCAAACTTTGCCTGAGGGGGAACTTCTGTTCATATGAAAGCTGTAATCTTTTCTACTTATTTAGAATACATTTTTAGTAATTTTGGAGGGATGGCTACATTCTAATAAAGGTTAGTAACATGAAAATAACTGGTATTTACTAAGTGTCTACAGTGGGCCAGACATTAAAGTTTTATGTATATTTTCATGTACTCCTTCACAATAACCTTGCAGGGCTGGTATTATTATCCTCATTTTAACAGATGATGATCTCAGGTTCTCAAGAGTCATGACACTTGCCCAAAGGCACAGGGCTGGTAAGAAGTTGTGACTGAGGGGTAATACCAAAGTTGTTATTTCCCCTACAGTCTACTTACCTTCACCTAAGAAAATGCTACACTACAGTTTGAGGAAACTAGCACAGCACAAATTCAAATTAAATCAGTTGAAGTAAAAAAGTTAAGCAGTTATTCAGTCATTCTGATTTCATTCAGCTAAAGAAAAATCTAAGCTGGGCTTGGTGGCTCAGCCTGTAATCCTGCACCTTTGGGAGGCTGAGGTGAGTGGATTGTCTGAGCCCGCGGGTTCGAGACCCACCTGGGCAACTTGGCAAGACCTCATCTCTACAATAGATCAAAAAATTAGCCAGGCGTGGTAGTGCGCGCCTGTAGTTCCAGCTACTTAGAAGGCTGAGGCAGAAGGATCACTGGAGCCCAGCAGGTCGAGGCTGCGGTGGCCAGGAGCGGCCACTGCACTCCAGTGGGAGCAGCCACTGCACTCCAGTCTGGGCGATGGAGTGAGACTCCAACTCAAAAACAAAAAAAGAAAGATCTAAGTCTCAAATTGAAAATTAAGTTTGCTATTTGGAAGTTATGAAAAGGCTTCCAGAGCCGGATGGAAAAGAAAATTGTAACATGAGTCATAGGATCTCAATTTTTAACATTATATAGTAAATGAATTATCAAGCAATACAGTATACTCAGATTTCAATTATTCACAGTAATTAAGAAAATAATTATTTGTGACTTAGGGACTCATTCTATGATTTTTGATTCTCTAGATTTGCCTTCCTAAAATAATGCCATTTAAAGTTAAGTGGAATCAACTGTTATTAGCCACTTTTTTTTAAAGTCAGTGTCTCACTCTGTCAAACAGGCCGGAGTGCAGTGGCACACTTATGGCTCACTGCAGCCTCAGACTCTTGGGCTCAGGAGATTCTTCCGCCTTAGTTTCCCAAGTGGCTGTAACTACAGGTGTGGGCCACTATGCCTAGCTAATGTTTTTTTTTTTTTGTAGAGACGAGATACTGTTGTGCTGCCTAGGCAGGTCTCAAACTCCTGGGCACAAGCAATTCTCCTGCCTCAGCCTCCCAAAGTGCTGAGTCACCACGCCTGGCCTATCAGCTGCTATTGTGAATTATCTACATCTTGCCTCCAGTCCAGATTGGAAGCTGCCTTCAAGTGTCTTCAACTGTCTGAACAGACAGAAGAAGACCACTTCATTATATTCACATTCGTCCTAAACTGCCTAACGTTGCTTTGTAATTCAGAGATACCAACTGCAGCATCTCACATTTTTACAGTAGAGTTTTTACAAAGATAATTCACAGAGCTAGCTAGTGCCACAGTGAGCAGTGGACTAGTTCTCTTGATAGCTAATTTAATACAGTGACTTATTAACTGCTGTTCAGTCCATTTTCAGCTGCTACAGACTGGGTCTAAAGAAAAAAATTAATTTCTCTGTGCTCATGGGGCTGGCAAGTCCAAGAGCATGACCCTGGCACCTGGTAAAGGTCACTGTGTGGCAGAAGAGGGGCAGACAAGAGTGAGGACGAAAGACAGAGGAAGTCGAGCAAACCTGCTCTTCTGACTAGCCCAGTCTTGCTTTAATGAGCCTCCTCCTGCAATGGCAGCATGAATCCATGCGTGAGGGTGGTGCCCTCATGCAACAATGGCTTCTAGAAGGTCCAGCTGCCTACACTGCTACAATGGCTAATCAGCCTTTTGCCTAAATTAGCTCATGTTTTACTGTAAGTGGATTTTTGACTGTGGCGTGCTGCCCCGTCCCTTCTGAGGCTGCTGCATTGACACTGTCTACATGCAGCGTCACAGTTCCAAGATCTAAAAGACTCTCACCTTCATTTGATACACAGCTGGTCTCAGGGGCTTCTGATAGGTGCCAGGGCCCCATACTTTCTTTCTTGGTCTGCCTCTCTCAGGGCTGGTGAGAGGATGCAGCTGAATAGAGTGAGCGCAGTGACCTAGTTTGGAGTTCAAGAAGATTCTTGTAGCTAATTTCATCATAGCAACAGCACAGGTTGCCTCAGGGATTTCTGGTGAGTAAATGGGAGGCGGCCTGGAAATTCTTCTGTGATCCTGCCACTCAGAGAACCAGACCGTGGCTGACAGAAACCACAGAGGCAAACCACTTTGCCTTTCATTGCTTCCCCACATACCTGTTTCCTCGGAGTCTCTTACAGCTGCTCCCGTCCCTTGACCTGCCTGTGGCATCTGACCACAGCCTTTTTGAGCCCCTCTTCCCTTGCTGCCACGTTACAGTCCTTTCAGGCTCTCCTTGTTTCTCTCTGATGGGTTCACCTCAGTTTCTTGTTAGTTATCCCACCTCTTCTGTTCCTAAAGTGTTGGTGTCCCTCCGGGTTTTGTCTTTCGCCTTCTCTTCTCACTCTGAACTTTCTTTCTGGGCAATCTTGCTTGAGCCAAGGACTTGAAGCATCTTTTCTTTTGAGTAGAAGTCTCACTCCGTCGCCCAGGCTGGAGTGCAGTGGCACGCTGACTGCCACCCCAGCGTGGACCTGCTGGGCTCCAGCGGTCCTTCAGCCTCAGCCTTCCACTGCCACACCCAGCTTTTTTTTTTTTTTTTTTTTTAATTGTAAAGAAGAGGTCTTGCCAAGGTGCCCGGGCTGGTCTTGAACCTGTGGGCTCAGGCAGTCAAACTCCCCTTGGCCTCCTAAAGTGCTGGGAAGACAGGTTGAGCCACCGAGCCCAGCCTGAAGCATCTGATGACTCCCTAGACTGTAGCTCTGTCTTTAGTCCTTCTCCTGAGGGTTTGACTCGTTGCTCTTTCTCCCCTGGGCATTTTGACTCAGTTACCTTAAAGCATCTCTACTTCTACGTATATTCTCCTGGATTCTGGACATCTCTACCGGGATGACCTACAGCAGCCGTAAACTAAAACATCCCTTAGTCCATTGTCTGCTGCCATCACAGGATACCACAGACTGGGTAACTTGTAAAGAAAAGAGATTTATTTGGCCCACAAAAATGAAGAAGGCATTCCATGGCAAGAAAGTGTGTGTGTGTGCGCGCGCGCACGCGCGCCAGGGAAAGGATGGGCGCTGAACTTCATGCTTCTATCAGGCATCCACTCCTGCAAAAGCTCATACGTGCCAAGGTAACAGCATGAATCCATAAAGGAGAGCAGAGCCCTCGTAATGCAATCCCCTCCATATGAAATAATGGCTGTCTTTGTCTTCCTCTAACCCAGCTGTATTTGTCCTGAACTACCTACTGCTGGAAGAACAGCACAGCCGTCTATCACGACCTGCCCAATGCTGCCATCAGAAGGCTGAGGATCGCATGTCTTCCTCTCTCTCACTCCACCCATGCCACAGGCCATCATCTGGACTCCGCCTTCTGAAGGTATCTGAAACATGAGCCTGCCTCCATGCCCCGCCTTCTTGGGTCTGGCCTTCCCGTTGGTTTCCTGGATGAACGCCAGCGCTGCCGAGCAGCTCGTGTCAGCAGCCTTGCCCACTCACACTGTCGCCACCCCACCCCAAGGCGCTGTCTCAGGAGTCAAGGCCTCCTGCCATGGCCCGGGTTCTTACTGTCCGCGGGATAAAGCCGAAGCTCCTTCGCTGTAACAGAAGGTGCTCGATGGCTAGACTCAAACCGAAGAGGTGGAGCTCTACCCAGTTCTAGTGGACCAGGACCACACAAGACATGGGCCTGGGGTTTCCAGGTCTTTGGGTTTTTGAAAGAAACGATACACTTAGTTTTCTATTTAAAATCTCCTAATCTTAAAAAACTGCCTAATTAAAACAGCACCCACAATGCTGTTCAGTCCTAATGAAGTCCTCCTGCTGGATCTGCTCCAAAGCTCCACACCATGACCGCTGGCTAGATCCATGGACGAAGGAGGCCAGACGTTAGGGAGGGGAGAATTGATGGATGTAGGAAAGAGGAACTAGGAGAGGGGACAGGCTTGGCCCTGGGGAGGCGGTCACTACTCCAGGCGAAGAAGTTCTGCACCCTGTGGACACCAGAGGCAGGATGTCCTGGCGTGGCCTGAGCTCATGTGGGACTGGCTGTGTGGATACCTGCAGTGGTTGGACACCGAGTTTTGCGACTTTGTGAACTGTGGCTTGTGTCAGAGCCTGGTAGCCCAAGAGAGGAGAAAAAGCTAAATGTGCTTTTTGTCTCGTTGCTGAGATCTCAGAGGAGAGGTTTACTTAAAAAAACAGGATGTGACTTTTTTGCATTGTGAGTTGTGAGAAGCAGTTCATACCTGTCAATACACCTCAAAGGCATCTGTTGAGTTTCTCAATGGGGGTGTTTAAGATTACCCTTTTAGTTCTGTAGTCACCCCCTTATCCATGGTTTTGCTTTCTGTGGTCTCAGTTACCTGTGGTATAGTACCATAAGCCATTTTGAAAGAGACAGAGAAAGATTGCCTTCATATACTTTCACTACAGCACGTTACTATGATTGCCCTATTTATTTATCGGTTATTGCCATTAATCTCTTACTGTGCCTAACTTATAAGCTTTATTATAGGCATGTGTTGCAGGGAAAAGCACAGTCCATATGGGACTTGGTATTTTCCCTGGTTTCAGGCATCAACTGAGTGTCTTGGAATGTATCCCTCAAGGATAAGGGGGGAACTACTGTGTTAAGCTGAGCCAATATTATTGGAAAGAAAGATCTGTTAACAATAAAAATAATGTGATGTCTTCTACAGCCATATAAATGAGTTGGAGATTATTTGCATCACTGTCTTCTAAATGGTGTAGATAAGTAGTGAGGACCACCGCGCCCTTCAAGGAGAGGCTGCATTTTTTTTGTACGACGCTAGCAACTTTAGCATCAACTCTGGCCTAATCCCTCATTTCAGGGGACTCTCTGTCAAGAGTCCACCTTCCTTGGGGTACATGGAAAGTGCAATCTTTATTGAGAGGGAACCTGGGGACCTGTAGTCACTTCCATTGAGTCACTGTTCCTACAGAGAGCATTCTGACTCAACCACAAGTGAAAGAGTTAATTTAAATGTGATTTCCTGGTCATTCAGAAACCACAGTCAAATGAGTATTTTCCCTGGACACCAAAGAACAGTGTGGGTGGGCCAGAGCCTCAGGAAGGACAGAACAGAAGGGGAATGATACTCTTGAACGCTGTTTTCTCTTCCAGCCTTGACGCGGTGCTCAGACAAATGGAGAGGCGCTTGAAGGACAAGGAGCTGCCAGTCCTTACCATCGTTCCCCATCTGCCATTTTCTCTGCAGCTCACCAGAGCTCTGTTAACGTTCTTTTGTGTTACTGCTCTCATATGAAAAACAGGAATATACACCACCAGTCACAAAAAGGTGAAATACCATGGCATCTTCCTAACCAGAGCCGTGAAAGACCTTTACAACGAAAACTACAAAACACTGCTCAAAGAAATCAAAGATGACACAAACAATGAAAAGATATTCCAGGCTCATGAAAGAATCAACACTGTTAAGATGTCCATCCTACCCAAGGCAATCTACAGATTTAATGCGATTAAACCCATTAAATTACCAGCAGCATTCTTCTCAGACCTGGAAATGACAATACAGGAATTCATATGGAAACATAAACAACCACGAATAGCCAAAACAATCCTCAGCAAAAACAAAAACAAAAAAACCCAAAGTGGGAGACATCACATTCCCAGACTTTAAACTTTATTATAAAGCTACAATAATCAAAACAGCCTGGAATTGGTACAAGAACAGGCATATAGACTAATGGAACAGGATAGAGATTCCAGAAGCAAAACCTCAATTTCCCAACCTACTTATCTTTGACAAGGCCTCCACCATCAATCACTGGAGAGAGGAGTACCTGTTCAGTAAATGGTGCTGGGAAAGCTGGCTGACCACATGCAGAAGATTAGAACAAGACCCCTACCTATCCCCATACACAAAAGTCAACTCTAGCTGGATCAAAGATCTAAACGTAAAACCTCAAACTATAAGAACCTTAAACAATGCAGGAGACACCCTTATGGAAACTGGAACTGGCAATCAATTCCTGATCAAAACCCCAAGTGCCCGTGCCATAAGAGGTAAAATAGACAAGTGGGACCTCATCAAACCGACAAGCTTCTGCAAAGCCAAAGAAACCATTGGCAGAGCGAGGTGACAGCCCACAGACTGGGAAAAAACATTTGCCAACTGTATGTCTGACAAAGTCCTAACATTTAGGATCTACAAGGAACTCAAGCGTGCCAAAAAAGAAGAAAACAAACAGCCCTATTACAAGTGGGCAAAAGATATGAATAGACACTTCTCAAAAGAAGACATAGGAGCAGCTAACAGGTAGACGAAAAAGTGCTCAGCCTCACTAACCATCAAAGAAATGCGACCTAAAACCACACTGAGGGGCCACCTCACTCCAGTCAGGATGGCCATCATCAGTGACTCAAAAAACAACAGATGCTGGAGAGGATGTGGCAAAAGGGAACACTTCTACACTGCTGGTGGACTGCAAAGTAGTACGGCCTCGGTGGAAAACAGAGTGCTGACTCCGAAAAGATCTAAAAGCCTACCTTCCGTGCCACCCTGCAACCCCCCCACTGGGAATATACCCAGAGGAACTTGGGTCACTCTATGAAAAAGGTACCTGCACACGTATGCCTACTGCAACATTGTTCACAAGAGCAAAAACATGGAACCAACCACGCTGCCCATCCCGAAAGGACTGGGTTTAAAGAAAACGTGGGATATCTTCATGCCGCCATAGAAGAACGAACCTGTGAACTTCACAGCAACCTGGATGGACCTACAGTCCACAATACCGAGGGCTCTAGCGCAGAAACAAATAAATGAGCATCACATGTTCTCCCTCACAAGTGGACCCCGAACCGTTAACAGACAGAAAAGACAGACGTGCACGTAAGCACTCGCGATTCCTTCCTAGGACAGACCACTGTCAGGATCAGAGCGCACACAGCCCTCGAGTCTCCGAGCCGCGACTGCGACCTGACCTGATTTACCCTCAGTCCAATTGCAAACTCTCCGCGGTGGCCACGAGACAGACCGAGCGCCACTTGGGCGGTCTCGCCGTACTTGGGTCCCAGGTTCC